TCAACAGTGTAAATTTAATACCAATAGCTTACTTAAGGTAATTAAAATATAATAGCATTTTCAAATATATTGAATATATAAAAATAATGCATGTTATGTTTATTTTTCAGACGCATCATACGCAACAAGTAGTATCGTCGGAGCAACCATCGCAATCACAGATATTGCTACAGTGTAGGTCATCCAGTTTGGACCTTACTACGTCCACTTTGCATACCAAACTGTTACCTCAACCGACAACGTCCAACGTGGAGAAAGAAGAGATCTTCGCTGTACCTAAGGTCAGTATCTCACTCGTGTCGATATACAGAATAGACCGACAATTTACTCTAATAGTCTAAAGAAAACGTTAAATTTTCAATTTTTTAAATAATGCTAATATTCAAGTATCGGTTAAAATATTTTAAAATTACAATATATTTTTTTAGTATCAAATGAAAGGGAGGAATAGATCCCGAAGTAGTTCTTCTTTAACGGCGCCTAGAATACACCCACCGCCGCTAGTATCTGCAGTGAGCGACCCAGCTCTGAATCTGAATAACAATGTTTTGCTTGCACGCTTACTTACGAATAGTAGTACGTATTTTTGCAATTCTATCTTATATAAAAAATGTAAAAGTCTTACGAGATCAATTAAACATAACTACTACGATTTACGCAACATATCTTTATGATATTAATTAAATTTAATTAAATCTTTCACATTAATAAGAAAAATATTTGAAGTAATGATTCTTATCTTCATTGATATCTATAACTGATTAATATTTTCACTTCGATAGAAGTAACGCAAGTAACGACAACTCAACATATCACGACCCCAGTGACTGTACAAACAATACAAACTTCTAGTATACAACAGACTCAACCACAGCAACAGGTATTAAAGAAAACTCAATTTATGATATAATTGCCAATTTGTTTGAGATCAATAATTCATCAGATCAATATTGATATTTTGCAGACAATGCCACCATCCACAACTCAACAGATTCTCTTAAATGCGAAAAATCAAACTCATCAGTCTCACAATAGTCCAATAGGTTCACCAAAGGATAGCAGCTCTAACGCACACAGTCCTCAGGCTTTAAGTCTTAGCCCTCTACATAGCCCTATGAGTATAGGTAGTCCTTTATCACCCACTCGTGGATACATGAAGAGTGAGTCAGAAAGAGGACAGTACAAAGAGCAGAGACGAGTCGGTCATATTCATGCGGAACAGAAGCGTAGATATAACATCAAGAATGGCTTTGATATGCTGCACAGTTTGATACCACAGCTCAGTCAGAATTCCAATACGAAATTGAGCAAAGCTGCAATGTTACATAAAGGGGCGGATTATATCCGACAACTCAAGGCGGAAAGACATCAATTAAAAGATGAGATGGATAGTCTGAGACAACAAATTGAGTGCCTTAATATGTCTATTAGGTACATTCTAATTATATTGCCAATAAATTAGGAAAGCGTTATAAGTAAAATTATATATTTAAAATAATGACTAGTTAATTATCATGAATAATTGTTAAATGTACAATTATCTATATAAATAAGATAATGCTTCATGATATTATTCTTATAGTAATTGTCAATCTATGCTTCCTGCAACGGGTGCTCCAATTGGTTCTAGACATAGAACTAGCAAAATAAAAGAGATGTTTGACGAATATGTACGTGTGCGTACGCAAGAAAACTGGAAATTCTGGATTGTATCCTTTTTTTTCTTTTTCTTACACATGATATCTTAAACTATTGATTCACGTAAAAGTATATCAAGGATTTTGAAAGATTAAATTCCTTAATATATTAAAATCAGTTCAGTATATTGTTAGAACCATTGATGCTGTCTTTCAATGCTTCAGTCTCAACTGCGAGTATCGAGGATTTGTATAGAAGTACATTATTGTGGGTAGATCAACATTGTTCACTCGTCGATCTCAGACCAGGTTCGTATGCAAAGGAAACATCCAAAAAGATACGCTTAAATATTTCCATTGCTTTTAATTATACAAAGTGAATTGGATTCAAGGAACCAACTAAAACGAGAATAGAAAAAAATTGCTCAAAATTTCTTCTAATTTTTCTAAATAAATATTCATAATTATCTTGACCAAAATATTATTTTCAGCTGTTTTGAATTCTCTCAAGACTCTGTGTACTGCCACTGATATTTTATCAGATCCGACCCGCCTTCCCGAAGAAGCGCTTGCGGCAGTCAATCGAACGGAACGCCGACGATCCATGCAGTGATCAAGTGCATGAATTCAACAGCGTGTTTGTATAAAAAAAGTTTAAGGTTTAGATATATATATGAATGTAAGGATGACAGTTACCGTATAACTTAAGTTAGCGAAATAAAAAGAAGACATAACATTCGGTTAATTAACCGAAACGCAGAAATAAGAATTTAAGTGCAATTCCTCTTTTTATTGCAACGTCACGTTATTGTTGCAAAGTCTATAATAGATAATTATAAAAAACGTTTTATATTACAGATTTGAATAAAAAATATGTGTACATATTACACATTTATACTGCAGTACGTATGCTGACAGTATGTATGATGCAGTACTTGATATTAATATTGACATGGCACAATCATTCGCATTAACATAATTTTTGACAAAATTGTCTTATGTGTACTTTTTCTCACGTTTATTTCGCGCAATTGTATGCATTACATGAAACTACACAGACCCGAACATTCTAATGATATCTTTATGGAATAATTTATAAAGTAAAAAAGAGTAAATTACTACATATTGCTACAATTTTTCCATAATTACGCATAATAAACATTATATGATTAAATTTATATGATTAAATTCATTCCATTGCTTTGAAAGATTGATATTCTTCAGATTGATAGCTTGACATATAAACATAATTATATAAACATAATTATTATAAGACTATAAGAATCTAAAAACTTGACCAAAAAATGATTGAATTTATATTAATATTAATATTTTTATTAATCTTTTTTGAAAAATGTTTTATTTATATTATCACTTCATTGTATGATTAGGAATTATCATATAGCCATTAAAATAGATCATGTACTGTGAATAAACTTTTTTAGCTTTAGGACATTTTTCTTTGCGGAATATTACGAAACGCAAATAAGTAACGCATTAAAAATGATAGACTCAGTGCCATAAATGTTCTGATGAACTGCAAAGATAATTCAAGAGTTGAAAAAAAGAAGTTCGGCAAACGAGAGTACGGCGTGGTACTTAGTAAAAAATTCAAAGCATTTAGTTCTTTATATGTAAATTATATTTAATTTGGTGTTAACTTCGTTTCGGTTCGCATTATATTTCGCCAACTTCAGCGATATAATCTCAGAATTAAATCCTCCACTCTCGATTACAGATTGAGTTCTCGCTCATCTGCATTAATTCAAACTTTTATCAAGATTCTATGCCAGTTAAAAAAGATACAAAAGCCTGAAGCTAAGAATATGAGATATATCAAATTTACAAAGATAGATCAGGAATCAATTACAATCGAATTAAACTAGAATAAAAATGTTAAGAAATTATAAAATTGCTAAAATGGGTAGAGTTTAAGGATTTGTACTAGAATATACAGTTAATTTGTTACATTCTTTTATTTTACTTTTATTTTTTTGTAGGCACCCAAAACATTCGCGTACTAGTATGTTTATATCGCATTAATCCTCTTCTATTTACTGTGTTTGATGATCAAGATAAATAAGTACTCTAACACTGTAAGATTTCAGTCAAGACGCTCTTTGTATCTTTTTACTAATAAAAAAAAAATTGCTACAAAAGTTCGAAGTACAAAATCGTTGAAACTATAACAGAGTTGTGGAACACTCGTTTGCCTAACTTTTGTTAATTCTTTTTTTACATGAAGTAAAAAATTAATACCATTACAAGCTAACACTGATTATTCTTTTTTTAATTTTAAGAGTAACAATTGTGTTTATTGAAAAGATAAGTTTTGGGAAAATGTGACTTGAAGATATAAATAATTTTCTTTATGTGAAGTATCAATTCTTTGATATAAATATACTGCTATTAATTTATATTTGCACAAATACGCCAGTAAGAGGTGTATATACTTTATTTAGCTTATAATTGCGTGGAGATGATAAAAAGGGGGTTGCTCATAAGATATATGTTCACACCATTATGTAAAATGAGATCTTTAATGGAAATTTATGTGATAATGTACAAATAATTTGCAAAAGGTTTAAATACCGAATATAGCTTAAACTACAAAGGGCTTCTGCATATTGTAGTATTTTTGTTAATGTAAAATGTTGTATATAGCCCGATGTTAAGAGAGAACAAAATGATTAATTTTATGAAAATAAATTTTTTTTTTAAATTAACTTTTCACATCATCTATACTCTGTTAATTTGTTGTTTTGTTTTAGAGCATGAAGAATGTTATTTTTTTATACAATATATAGATGCCCTCGTTCAACTTACATCATGTATGTACAATGCATTAAGTGATAAATAATATAAGTGAACTCATCGAAGGGATGTTTTTTTGTACAATATGTATCATAAGTATAAAAAAAAGATTGACATGTTATTATTCAGATGTTATAACAACATGAAATCCAAACTAATTCATTTTTTTTCTACTTTTTCCTTCTCGCAATCATTGCTTCTAAATATTATAAATAATTATATTGAATGATATTACTCATATTAAATTTAGTCATATAAAATTGAAATAATATAAATTTAAATATAAATATATAATATAATTTTTGTAATATTTGGAAAATGCTTTCCCGAAATAATTTTTATTGAAAGTAACAAAACTATTGGAAAGTCCTCATGATATTACTTATAATGTAATTTGACATTTAATTTTTATTGTATTTTATAAATTAAAACAAATTAAATTTATAAATACTTTCTTAAAAAAACCTAATGTCACAAAAATTTTAATTAGCATTAAAGCTTTGTTTTGCATGTAAATTATAATACACATTGTTTATAATTGTTATTTTATAATCTTTGGATACACATTGATATTGATAACATTTAATACTTACGCCAAAATATGTTAATTATTCAGCATGTTTTTATTTTAGAAAATTGAAAGCTCACCAGCTGAATAATCAGCAAATCAATGCCAAAGTGGAACAGTCATGACATATCAGATACAAATTGAGATTACTGTTATCAGGTATTATCGTGAATAGCGGTACCTTGACACAATTAAATGCGTGGATATTTATACTCTCGTTAATTAAATGTCTCACTTCTTGCATGGTACGACCTGTCAATTTCAGTTCACAAACTGGGCAATTCACACAATTATTCTCTTCTCCTAGTATAGCTTTTTGACATATGGGACAGAATACTTCTCTATTTTCATTATCAGCATACATTGCGAAATATTCGATCTCGTCCTGCAAAATCTTCTCATATTCTTGAATTATCCATTGTTCTGCATAACAATATAATTTTCCATCAAATTCGTATTATATCACATATATATCACAAATAATAAATTAATAATAATTATTAAAAATTACAAGTTTCTAATAATGTAACTGAAATTTTAATGCTGATACCTTGTTCGCAAACAATTTCGTTTTCTAATTCAACTGTCTCTTCCTGAGATAGTGGCTCCTCAATCTCTTTAAATGTAATACTTTTGTCATTGTCATCTAATGTTGCTAAATTCTTGAATTCTTGACGTATTATTTCTGTCAATGTGTCCTGCATGTGTCTCGAGTTAAGTTCCAAGCCAAATCTACGTTTGTTAAATAATTGATCTCGCTTCTCTCGCATTCTCTGGCGACATTTCTAAAAACAGGCAATATTTTCGAAAACAAAAAAAGACAGCACCTTATGTATAAATGGGCCTTACATTTAGTGACACAGGTTGATACAAATATTATTTTGTCCTTTTTGGCATTCAATGAATAAAGATTGGACGACACTTGTATCAATGACTTGTGTCACTAAATGGAAAACATCCAAAATATAGTAATAGACTTTTCAACAAAAGATACAGATAACAAAATATCTGATATTCAAATTGAAGATATCAGACTAAACTTTGAACTTGAACTTTAATTGAACAAACACGAACAGGCCCGAAAAAAATTGTGTGCGCATATTTATGCAAGAATATTTATAAAAGAATGCAGAGCTTATATTACTATCATCCAGAAAGCTTAAAAGTAGTACGAGGAAAACATAGACTTCCCAACCTCTCGCAGCACCTCCTGCAGCTTTGGCGAGCCATGTCTGATTTTATTCGCGCAATCTCTGTTCCTCAATTTTGATGTCATTGTAGAACTGAGTGTATTTGTCCCGCCAATTTATTTATTACAGAACTGGAAAGAAATGCAGTTTTCCCAAAAGATAGACTTGAGAGACGTAATTTAACAAACTACTTCGCGCACACAGCTGGCATTGCTGGCAACAGCTGGGCACAATTCACTCACAAATACGACATATCTTTCGCATACCACGCACATGCGCACGTTTGCCGAGCATGCAGTGCCCTCACGTTCCAATATCCTCTATCTTGCAGCTAATCAATATGTCGGAAAGAAATCGTATGACAAATAAAATATTAAAAACAGAATATAAATAATCAACGGCAAACACTCGCAATTGCAAAACGAATTGTATAATCGGTATTTGTCGACGATGAATTTATATGCCTGGCATACTAGTTAATAACTTCCATAAATTGAAAATACTTTCCGAGAAAATCACAAAAAAAACAATAAATTTATATGTGCGCAGTGACATCACAGAGAGATGGCATATTCAAATTTCAAATTCAATTAAATACAAATATCCTATTCTATTATACTTGTAAAATGATCAGAATCAAATTCAAAATAATTCAAAATAATAATTGATTCGAACTGTTCGAGTGAATCAGCAACAATTTTTTATATAAAAAAATCAGGAACACAACATTGTATTGCGTTCTTAACGAATTTAATTATTACTATGATCGTAATTTTTATAAAATGAATTTTATGAATATGAAATATACATTTATTATGACAAAATAAAAGAGCATATTTCGATACTAAACTGTGGAATTTATAAACGCTCTCTGTACGCTTCTTACAATTTTTTAGGATGCACATAAGAAAAATTTGATGTAACAATTTGCTTATTTTTTATTCATATAATGATAAGAGGTCTATATACAGAAAAAAACAATGGCAGAGTAAAACGCTGTGATCCATTATTTCCAATCGAAACAACGGCGGATGTTGACTAAGCGCGTAGACATAATACAAGGCGTGTTATTCATATATATCCTCCTTGTCCGCTACGTAACGCACTATATCCTTAGGCTTCAGTAGCCTCTCAGCGTCCATGTCTGGAATCTCGAAGCCAAATTCGTCCTCCATCGCCATTATAATCTCCACGTGATCCAGGGAATCCAGACCCAGGTCGTCCATAAAATGCGAATCCAAGGACAGCTGAAGATTCAATGTATGTCGTTAAGATTAGAATTCAATCATGCGCCTGGGCTTCTTGCACAACTGACATGTCCTTCTGATAAAATTAATCGAATGAAATATATTAAGGAGAGTATTTTACACATTTAAAAAAATTTTTTAATTAGATATTATATAAATAATATTAAATATTCTTCTGCCATATATATTTTTAACAGTATATAATAATGCAAGTTATTATATAAATAAAGTAAATAAGAGATTTGTTAATAAAGAGATTTGTTTCTACATGTCAGTATGTACGCAGACGCCACACAGATCAAGCGAGGTGTTAACCAACTATTCTTTGTTTTAAGAAATATTTCTCAAGACATTTCAACAAAGAAACTAGTAACAGAAAAAATAATGAAAAAAAAATGATAAAATTGATGTAATTATATCATGTATAAGAAACTATCAACTCTTCTAATTAATATGGAAAAGCTATGTGTTTAAAAAGATATACACATGATTTTTATTTTTAAGTATTTTTCAAACACAATTGTGATAAACTAATGATGAATTTTTGTATATTTTTACATTCTTTCATTAAGAAATACAGAATCGTCTACAGAAATGTCATGGCAAATATTTCAAGAATATTGATTTCTAAGATACCTTTGTGGGTTCAATTTTGTCATAAAGTTTCAGAACCAAGAGCACCCGCTGATTGATAATATCAAGGGTTAGTGGATCCTTATGACTGTAATGGCGCACCTGCTTGATGCGTGTGTCCCTTAAGCCCTGCAAAATTTTTCCCAGAAAGAAAAGTATTTTATATAACCTTTTCTACAAGGGCGTCATTATAAACGGCTACAGCCTTCAATACGCGCTCTTCGATATCCTTAATCGATTTCGGTTTCTCTTTAGTAACATCTTGACAGTATCCACGATTGCATTTTACCTGCATTCATCAAATGATCTTTTTGTATAATCCAGTTTTTATGAAATGATTTCATGAAGAAATGTCAATTGTACTTGGATATACTTTGCAAAAAATATATTCTAATGTGATTTTACAGTACTTTATCAAATAATGGTAATTTAAATTATAAAAATCTAAATTATATAAATCTTAAACATATATTAACAAAAATAAATTGACATGTTTTAGAATAAAATATTTAAAAATGCTGCATACAAATCTAGGAATAAAAGATTAAATTTATTGTTAGTAGACTCTAAATTTAGTGTCGTTATGTTGTCGTTATATAGCTTCATAATAATATTGTTACTATCATTGAAAACAGGAACCAAAGGTTCATTTCTATCATATACATTAACTTTAATTTCAGTTTAACTTACTCAATATTTTTATCTAGTTCTAAGAATTAGAAAATAAAGATTAAATTAAATCGAGATTGAAGTTGATCTATATTAGCACAAATGGACATTAGTCTAGTTCATGCTTTTCCTTTTTTTATACTTTTTCAATCAACTCTTCTTGTTTTTGCACAAATCAAGTATAAATTGTCCAAAATGATGTCCAGATCAAGTATAATTAATACAGATCAGTTGTTTGTTTATGTCTCCAACAAAACTATATGCAAAATCTATCATATGATGCAACTGATAGGTAAAGGAGTTATAAACACCAAGAGCATAAAAAAGCACAGCCAAAACAAATGTATTGAGCTAAGATGAATTGAACTGGTTGACCGACAAGTTGTCTCTGGGCATCTCGGTAAGTATTTCAAATCGCTTTAGTTACATAATGAGAGTTCTGGAACCCGCTGTTGCAAACAATTGCTCGGCGAAGAGTCGATCACGCGTATCATACTGTCCGTTAATATTACCTGCGGTACGACAAGCGTCGTCCACGCGGCACGATGCAACAACCTCTGCTCACATCGAATCTGAACGAGTGCACCACTCATGCATCGCAACCGACTGAATGAGTTTCTGAAGCAACCGGTGTTCCTCGCCAACAGCCGGACACCCGCCAAGGACGCCATTTTCATCCACAATGAATAAACGAGGGACAACGAGGGACCGACGAAGACTCTGATCCGTATTCCTGATACGAGACTTGACGAAACTCTTCTTGTTCCTGGATTCACCACTCCGGATGATCCGCGGTAATGCAAATTACAAGGAATATTCGTCGCGTGTGCTGACATCTACTTTCATACATTCTTATCAATTTTATCAACTGAAGCAACGACTGATAGAGATGCAACAATATTTTTTGTCCAATTTTTGTTTTATTTACATGCATGAGATGCTGCATTTATATGTTTCACGTACAAATAATATCAAAATATATATAAAAATATAATAACAAAAAGGAAATATAATGTGTTACAAGCTAACCTTATTCTGTAATTATTCTCTTAAATTGAGACATTTGCGTATAAGACAGCAATTTAAAAATCGTTATAGTTAAAAAGTAAACACATAAGTTTGTTTCGTAAAGTTTTATTTAAACTGAGCTTCATCTAAACAAGTTTACAAGAAATTTATATTCTTTAATGAAAAAAGCTAGAATATATGTCAAATGGATGATATACATCGAATGAGCATCTAACTTTTATTTTGTCACTTTGAAAATATTTAGTAATATATAAAATTAACAATAATTATGTATAACAGCATAAGATATATTGCTAATAATCTTTTTATTCAATTATTTTAATTGTTTTATTATGAAGAAACTATCTATTGACTATAGAAAGTAGCGCGAGAATTACCGTTTAAAAAAGTGCATCTTCTACAAGTATAATTTTAACAAACTATAATAAATTATTTATTTATAAAATTATACATAATACATTTATAATTGTATCAAATAAAATTTTAATAAATTATATAATTTCCTATTATATTCTTAGATTCTAAGTTTGTAAATTTTCTATATTATAATATTTAAAAAAAAATTGTTAAGATAAAATAGATGATCTAATGTACAATAATATTATAATATTAATATAATAATATTAATATAATAATAATATTATAATATTAATATTATAATAATTGTATCTGCGTATGACATATTCATCAGAAATTATTTTATAATTACATTCCTTCTTACAGTCAATATAATATAAATAACAAACGACTCGAACAGAAAGTTCAAAGTAGATCGTCAGTAACCCAAGCAATAATATTTTCTGAATCTCGGTATAGTTTACAATATCCTTCTTGATAAATTGATTCTTTCCATCCTGTCGTTAAATAACATAATGTTAATATATTTTCAGTATTACATATAGTTATATAATATATTTTTCAATTAATACAATAAATAATACAATAAATAAGGGCTTTTTGAACCTAGCAAGTTAATGCTTTATTAAACTCCATATAAACAATGTTTCAAACGTTTTGATCTTTTTTCAACGTCTTCAATGACCGTTTACAAGATTTACATATGATTAACATGTATAAATTATTACATGTTCCACAAGTCTATAGTGAACTTAATTCTGTAATGACCTGATGTCCATTAGAAATGTACTCTTTAAACATACCAATTCTTTAATGCGCCATACACAACAGATTATTAAAAAATCGAAGTAACTTCAATCAAATTCCGATTATTTCAGTCTAAGATAAGCCTTATTTAATATTATTTTGTTAACATGTATAAAACTATTTACTTTTTTTTTAATAAAGGAAAAAGATTAGTACACAATAAAGTATAACTTTTTCATCTTAAATATATTTTTAGTGTCTGGCAATATATAATGTATAA